GTGTGCTAGATATTCTGAGAGCGAGTTGGAGAGAATGGGGAAGAGAAATTGGTTGATAAGTGTCTTGAGGGATTTGGGGAACACAAAGACACTCCTGACAGAGGTATAAAGTCCAAAGTCAAGAGCTTGGCAGGTGCTACCTGACAGCAGAGAGTTGGGCTGTGGCAGAAGCAGCTGTCCAGCTGTCCTCCTACTCATGGTAAGACAAAGATGTGCTTCCCAGAGGCCAGAATTGGACAGGCTGCACAAAGGTAGAAAAGTCAAAGGCAGGATTTAAAACTTTGAACAATAAAGGCCTCTCATTAAACCAAATAAGGGGACCCAACCCTGTCATAAAAACCAGGCTGAGGATATTGCTGGTCCCCAATCTTATTGTTTTATATGACCTCAGGTTCCTGCTGGGGATGGGGACATGCAAAAAATAAGGCAGTCTGAGGCTCCCATCCAGGCAAGAAATTTGGATGTGGTTACTGGCACATGGGACTCACTGGGAGTAAATAGATCAGAAGCTACTAGGTTTTTGGGAAAATCCTATTATTAAAGAAATATGAGTCTGGCCTAAAATAGCCTACTGGACTGGATCCCCATACTGGCCAGCCGCCAAAAAAAACCAGAAAGGAAAATGAAAATAAAATAAAATAGCCTACTGGAGTCTTAAAACAGCCTTTGGAACCTGACACTGTTATTGGCAGGTAATGGCTATGAAGGCTGCTCACCACCAAGGGGGCACACTTCCCAAGTCGCCAAAGAGGATCATGGACAAGGATGAGCCTACCAGAAGGCTGGACCAGGGATCCATTGAGGACTGTCCTTCTCTGCAAGGGTAGAGGCTGTCCCAGTGCTGCTCGGCAAGACTCAAATGCTGCCATGTGCCAGGGCCGTGTCTCTTTTCTGAATGGAGGTCACTGATGCAGCTATCTTGCCCCTCTCCATCACTCTGTGTGTGTATGTGTGCGTGCATGCACGTGTGTGTGTGTGTGTGTGTGTGTGTGTGCGTGTGTAGGTCAGAAGAAGCTATCAGAGTGGACACTTGAGAGAGAGGGCTGTCACCCAGAAGCCCTGGACTTTGAGGTGGAGGCAGTGACCACATGGGCCTTTGGTTGGCTCCACTGGGGCTGGGGGTATATGTATCTGTGCGTGGAAGGGGGGTCCATGCGGATACCAACTGGCCGGGGGTAGACTGCAGCAGTGCTTGCCAGTTCCAGGGCACTCACTACTTTTCCCAGCCTCCCTTGGTGTTAGCTCGGGAAATGTGACTAAACCTTCCCACTGGAATTGTGAGTAAGGGACAAGTGCCATTTCTGGCCCTTCTATGCTTCCAGCCCTGTCTGCTGAAGGGAATTGGACAGGATGGCCTGGTCTTGACAGCGAAGAGGACAGTAAGGCACTGATAGGTGAGGGCCAAACTGGAAGGTGGAAGGAACCTGGCTCCCTGACTCATGTCACAGAGGAATGTCAGCTGTGGACTGGCCAGAGAGCAAGACACAAACCACCATTGATTTGAGCCATTACATTTTTGAGTCTATTTGTTACAGCAGCATGGCCTACTCTAACTACTAGGATAATGAAGAAAGTAATAACAAAACTCTGGAAACAAGCTAAATGTCCAACAAGAAATTGGTTAAATGAATTACGGTATGTCCATATAATTTAACATCATTTCATTAAAATAACATGGTGAATACTTAGTGATGTGGAAAGATGCCTTTGAGTGTTGCTGCTCAGGAAGAAAACGGGTTCTGTATGGGAGGGGAAAAGAAGCAGAGAGAAGGGAGGACGAGACCTCTGATGTAGAAAGTGTTTATCTTACCCCGGGTTGCCCAAAGTTCCTGATTTCCTCAAATTCATCAAATAGACACTCTGCTTTTTTCCATTCAGAATCTGGTTGAGGTAGTGGAGGTTCAAACTCT